TGGCTGTCAAAGGCATTTGATCAAGGGGAGGTCTCCCCTTTCTACATGGTGCCACAATCCCAGCTCCAAGATTCGCACGTTCTTAAATCTAACGACTTCTCTTTTCTGTTGGAGTTGTGTGGTAGTTGTATGTTACTGTGAAAGGGTTGATCTGTGCAGCAATTTGGAGGCAGATATTTGACTTGCTGATCTTCTGCGTCCTTCCAGCTTTGTGATTCTAGACAAATAGCAGGATCCATTGGCCAAGGAAGAGCGCTGAGGTCCACACTGGAGCTGGTGTGTTCATCGCAGGAAGTAACCTTGATGGCCCAAGCTGACAGTGCTTTCCGCCTGCGTCTAGCGGGCGCATCCTTTTCCCATTTCAATTCTTGAGTAGGTCAAGGCTCCCCTAATCTGGATGAGGACTGTGGCTTGGGTGGGAAGGGGACTGGTATATATGGGCACACTAGCTCTGATGCAGGAGATGGCGCCTAGTCATCTGGACTCGTAGCCCCTGATAGCCTTCTCCAGGCATGTGTCCACTCCCCTTTTAAAGATGCTCAAACTGGCAGCCATTGCGCCATCTCATGGAAGTGGCTTCGTTCGCTTCCCTGTGCACTGTGCAAAGCAGGGCTTCTTTTTCTCTGTCGTGAATCTCTTCCCAGTCATAAGATACCCCCACCGGGTTCTAGTGTCGTGGGGGAAGAAGCAAAGAAGCTCTCTGTTCGCCATGTGTGATTCATTCTCCTCTGTTGTGTCTTCCCTTTCTTACTGGTTTCTTTCCAAGCTGAAGAACCTCAGCGGTTGTAACCTTTCCTCATAGGGGAGCTGCTTCTGCCCCTTGATCCATTTAGTTGACTTTTTCTCTGGTTTTTCAACCTCTAGGGTATCCTTCTTACAGACTGTTCACCGTATTCTAAGTGTGGTCACACCCTGGATTCATACAGGGGCATTATGATCTTGGCAGTTTTGTTTGCAATTCCTTTCCTAATTCTGTCTAACATAGAATTCACTTTTATTGCAACTGCCCTGCCCGGGGCTGACATTTTCCCTGAGCTGTCCAGCAGAACCCCAAGACCTCTCTCTTCGTCAGTCTCCACTGGCTCAGATTCCAACAGCTTATACTTGATGTTGGGATGTTTTGCCCCAATACACAGTATTTTAAACTTGCCATTTTGCAGCTGATTGGAAAGGTCCTTGTGTGTGTGTCTTAACTACCATAAATAATTTGGCATCATCAGCAAACTTGCCCCACTCCTTCCTTCCAGATCAGTTATGAATACGTTGAAAAGCATCGGTCCCAGTATGGGCCCACTGTTTGCATCCCTCCACTGGGAGAATTTGCCATTGCTCCTCTCCACGTTCTGTTCCTTAACCAGGTATTGATCATAAAAGGACCTCTTCTCTTATTCCAGGACAGCTAAGTTTGCTCACGAGCCTTTGGAGAACGACCACATCAGACACCTTTTGGAAGTCCAAGTAAACCGTGTCTGCCAGATCACCCCATCAGCGGGCTTGCTGACACTCTCAAAGAACTCTAAAAGTTAGTGAGACATGACTTTGCCTCAGTGGGCATATTTATTTATTTATTTATTTATTTTAAACATTTGTATGCTGCCCGTTTGTGCCACAGCAGTTCTGGGCGGCTCACAACACATGAGATCGGCGGGGGAGGCCCTTCTCCGGGAGCCCTCCGTGAAAGAAATTAGGAGGGTGGGTACCCGGAGGAGGGCTTTCTCTGCGGTGGCGCCTAAGTTATGGAACGCACTCCCCAGAGAGGTCCGCCTGGCACCGTCGTTATTTGTTTTTCGGCGCCAGGCGAAGACCTTTTTATTCAAGCGGCATTTTAACTGTTCATATTATTGGATTTTATCTGGCCAGGGTGGCTTATTTTATACTGTATTTTTATATTTTTAATTTAATGTTTATATTCTTGATTTATATTATAATTATTTTAACTTATTGTTGTAAGCCGCCCCAAGGCTTCGGCGAATGGGGCGGCATAAAAATGTTTTAATAAATAAAAAATAAATAAATAAAATAAAAACACAATAAACCATAATAAAAACCATAACAAGTTACACATTTAAAACAACAATAAAATACAGTAAAACATAAGCCATATTGACGCTTTTCTCAGCAGGTCTTGTCCTTCAGTCTGCATACACATTTTTTTAAAGAATGTTTTCAACCAGTTTACCCAGAAAAGAAGTTAATTTGTCTGTAATTTCCCTGATCCCTCTGGTTCCCTTTAGCAAAAATCGGTATTTCACGGGCAATTTTCCAGTTTTCTTGTATGGAGGCTGATCATATTTTTGCCAGAAAAGCGGCAATTTCATATTGTTGACCTACCATTGCCAGTACAAAGGGATAAGCAACAAGCCAAATGCTGCAGCTGTTGGTCTTTTCCTTTATAGAAGGAAGTTCAAAAACTTTACTCTGGGTTTTCCCGGTGTACCTGCACATACAGTCTCTTTCTCGCCCATGCAAGGTTGTACAAATACCAAGGTTAAGGTCAGTCACAGACATGTGAAGGCCAACAGAAAGTTAGGGCTTCCGCACAATGCCTAATTAACCCGTGGAAATGGGTGGTGTACCTTGCGTTGTTATGAAAGGGTCAAAAACAGGTTTGTCAGTTGCTGCAGGCCATGATGCTAAAACTATTGATTATTAACTGCACCCTTCTCCTGTACTCTTCAGGAAACACCCAAAGCATGCAAGCAGAAAATGAGATAAAGCAACAAAACAGAACTAAAAAAATAAGGCAGCTCCTCAGCTCTAAGCACAGCAGATTCTAAAGTCATTCAGGGCTTGTTGAAATAAATAACAACTTGACAGGAGTCAGTGTGGTATAGTGGCTAAGTGTGAGGGACCGGGACTCAGGAGACCTGTAGTTCCTACTAAGCCAAGGGGCTCACAGAGTGACTTTGGGCCGGTTGGAGACTCTCAGCCCAGCTTACTTCACAGGGGTTGTTATTGTGAGAATAAGATTGAGAGGAGGCACCTTGAATTCATTGAAAGGAAAAAAAGGCAAGATATGCATATGATTAATAACTATAAGAAAGACAGAATCAAATTCTATAATGTTGTGAAAAGCTTCCTCAGTGTCAGAGCAATACAGCAGAGGAACCAGCTGCCTAGAATGGTGGTGGGCTTTCCCACACTGGAGACATTCAGGGTGAAACTGGGCAGCCACCTGAGTGGGATGGTGTGAACTGGTGTCCTGCAACAGCAGGGGGTTGGACTCGGTGGCCTTCTTGGCCCCTTCCAACTCTGCTATTCTATGATTCTTAAACTTTGGTGCCCAGAACTGGACACAGCATCAAACTGCAGATGGGGTTTAATATAGGTAAGATCTCTTCTTGCTGGTGCCAGAGTGTGAGACACAGAATAATCAGTTCAAGTTGCGGCAACCCAGATTCAGGCTGGACATCAGGAAAAGCTTCCTCACTGTCAGAGCAATACAGAGCAATACTGAATCAGTTTTGCTTTTTAAAAAGAAAGTGTTATCTCTGACCTTGAACAAACCAGCTGGGTCTCTTGAAACACAGCTGCAAAGATTCAACTTTATGCCTCTAAACTGGATGGGCTAATCTTTGGGCTTGGAAAACTTGGAGAAGAATTCTAGGATGAGTCCAAACTCTTCCCAGCTTTCTTGTGCAGGCATAATGCTTAGCCATGGTTGTTGCCTTAAGATCCCAAATGTACCCTGCCCTGTTTTGGACATGTGAATGATAATAAGCAGGCCTTCTGAGCTTCCTGTCCCACCTTTTTATTATTACAGTATTGTCAGGTTACAATTGTATGTCACCCATAGCCAAAGCTGTCTGGGAAGTTCACAACATTAAGTCACCCATCCAAATTTCAGCCAGGCCCAGCCCTGCTTAGCTTCCAAGATTAGGTGCTTCAGGCTACATGGAAGCTTGTTTTCCGTCAATGTGGCTCTGAGGAGGTGACTGGAAGCATCTGCATTCTGATTTAAACTAACTAGAGTTTATGGAACCTAGGAGAAATCCTGGTTAGGCATGCTTCATTAACAATTGTGACCCATGTTTTGATCCTGGCTTGTTTCAATAAACCATAGTTTAAATTAATTAGAATTTCTACCAGGGGGAATGCATTATGAATCGCCAGGTCCAGTTAACCCATATTATTTGCCAGAGTAAGAGCAGCTTTGTTGGAACAGACCTGAAAGTCAATCTAGCAAGGTTCTTGTGGTTCTTTTAGCCCAGGGGTCGGCAACCTGCGGCTCTGGAGCCGCACGTGGCTCTTGAACCCCTCTGCTGCGGCTCCGTCGCTCAAAACACGCGCCGGCACAGCCGCTGATCTGCTCGAGAGAAGCTCCACTCAGGAACGCAGGGCTAGCTAGTTAAGTAAAGTAAAGTAAAGTAAATCTGCTAGTTAAGTAAATCGCTACATTCCTCTGCTAAACAAGCTTCCTGCAGGCTCTCATGTTACAAGAAACAAACCTGCTGCTGAAAGGATTCTCTTTGTCCCAATGTAATCTCCTTCATCTGAATGTTTAAAGCTGTGCTTGGGACCTGTCACAATTCACAGCACTTGACTGTTTATCTGCTAATCAGTCCCTAAATGCACCTATTTGTAGTATGTTTTTATTTAAATAAAAAATTTCAACCTAAAAAAAAAAAAATTTCAACCTAAATGCACCTATATCTGCAACCAGCCAATTTACTGAACTTCCCCCCCCAACCATGGATAAATCCGAAGAAAAGAAAAGTTTCTGAAGAAAACCAAACATTTAATGGAACGTCATTTGCTTTTACTGCTGACGAACTTACGGGGTTTGCAGTTTAATGCATGCAGCCCTTTAGCACTGCCTTTGACTCTGCAGGAAGCGGTTCTCCTATTCAAAATATATGAAAGGAGTCCTACTAGTTTATAATGTAAGATTAAAAATAACAGTTTTTAGTGACTGAACAAGAGCTGCGGCTAAATCATAATGAAGATATGCATAGCATTAAGGTAAAAAGCGATATATGCAGTGTTGTCTCCATTTTAGATGTCAAAAGGGGTTTGCGGCTCCCGGTGTTTTCTTTTGTGCAGGAAACGGGTCCAAATGGCCCATTGAGTGTTAAAGGTTGCCGACCCCTGTTTTAACCCAATCAGCAGACACAGCTGGACAAAACAGGCCGAGAAAAGCCACCATTTCCTTGTTCTGGCCAGTGGCCATATAATCCTGGACAGCAAAGTCTGTTCCACTGAATCAGCTGGAACATGCTGTCACTCAAGGGCATTGCCACTTTTGGAAAAGGTTGGTCCTGTGAGCTGCAGTATTATACCCCTTCCTCCCTGTGTGTCCCAGCACTTTTGCTTTTTGGAACCTGCTGTCTCTTGAGGTGCTCATCAGATTTTCTTCTCTGGTTTGTTTTTGGCTTATGATGTTGCTTGTCAAGGGGACGTGCACGCAAAATTTTCCAGTTCGTTCAGTGCATAAACAAGCCACGGGTGTAGCCAGGCAGTGTGTGTGAGCAGATTTCTACTAGAACCCTGACTTACTACGTGTGACCAGGTGTGCGCATGAGAGAGAGGATTTGCACTGTGATCTTTAGCATACAGAACTTCTCTTTGTTTTAAGCATCTTTTCTATCTGGTTTGCACACGCTTTTCCATGACTTGACAACTGCAGCTTCAGGCTGTGTGTGAGTTGCACGTCCGAATAAGCCATCACGGACCCTGCCTCGAAAAGAACTTTTTTCCCCCGCCTCTATCACTTCAGGCTGTGCTTTGAAATGAATTCTCTGTACACTTTCCACTTCAATTAATCAAAGGTTTAGTAATCATGTGACGTATGTGCTCAGGTATGATTTTGTCCTTGCTCTGTTTTGGAAATGCTTGTCTCAGCTCTGAGTAGACATCTTTGGAACCCCTTTGAATGTTGCACAGTTGTGTCCAATCCACAAGTTGCAAGTGTGGTATGTGGTAATTGCACATATGTAAAATCTTCTCCATGCAGGGTATTTTGGTAATTTGAGAAGGTTATAAGTTTATATTTCTATATACTGCCTGTAGGTCCTGCGTGATTTACCAACAACAGTTGAAAAGTCAGTAAAAACAAGCATATTAAAGAAAACTAGTCTGGGAACTAATCTAGACTTTAATGACTCTAATCGTCTTCTTGGTGTTGATTCTGTCCAAGACCCGGAGACATCAAAATGATGGCACAGATCAATCTTTCAGGTAGCTGCTCATGAATTCCCCTTCTCTGGTTCATTTCCCAAACATAATTCTGACAAATTTTGGTGTCACTTCTTCGTCACACTTGGCTATGCTTAGTTTTATCCGTAGCCATCCATTTTCTTGCTTTCATTGCGCAACGTAGCTCTTGGAGATACTGTTTGGGGCACTTGTGGTATGGCGATGGTCCAAAATGAAAGGAAGAACCTTCAGGTTTCAGAAGTCTTCCTTCGGTGCTCACCTGGAGGTCTCCCAGTGACCAGGCAAGGAGGTGGTTGTTGAACTGTGTGCTCCAAACAACACATACAAGGAACAAGCAGGCCGCTGATCGGGAACTTTGGCTGGTGTAGCATTACAATGGTGTTGGTTGTGTGTCTCTGTGTTGACAACACAGCAGTCCTTCATGCTGTCCAGAATGCCATCCCTTGTGCTTTCTGTGTGAAGGCTCCAGATCTGCTGCCAGTCCGTGTTGGTATTATAGAATTGGATGAACCAACCCACTGATTAAGAAAAGGCAGCTTTGTTTCCCTGACACCTGACTGGTTTGTTGTCTTGCAAGCTGCAGTGGTGCTTTTCTGCATCGCTGAACCCAACAAAGTTCGTGATGCAAATGATGTTAGTGTTGTGGCACACCAGGACAGCACTGCAACTCACAACCTTGGGGGTGAGGCCTCTCGTGCCCCGTTCTGTCTGCTGCTGATGGTAAATGCACTGAAGGTGTATTTGTCCTAAAGAAGGCCAGAGGTACGGGGTATATGGTAGCTGTCTCCACATTCTGTGTCAGTTAATCCCATAAATTGTGAATTGGGTGAAGAGGAAGGAAAGGAGAATGATCTGGGGACTGGGAACAAAGCCCCATGAGGAGAGGTGGGAAGAGCAAATGTATCCCAGTTGTAGGAAGCCAGGTTCTGGCTAGATATCAGGAAAAAACTTCTGACTGCTAGCGCAGTGCAGCAATGGAACCCATGACTGAGGGAGCTGATGGGCTCTCCCATACTGGAGGCATTCAGGTGGTAGTTGGACAGTCATCTGTCAGGGATGCTTGAACTTGGAGACCTGCATTGAGCAGAGGATTGGATTGGATGGGCTTGCAGGCCTCTTCCTGCCCTACAATTATGTGACTCCCTAAGCAATACTTACTGTCAGTCTTCTTGCTGGATACCGCAGACATCTTGCATTAGAAAACTAGAGGCAAGAAACTGGTTAGGTCTTCCAAATTTTGATTTCTGAAAAGCAGCCTCCGTCCACACCCGGTTACTTTGCTTTCACCATTTCTTTGTGTTCCCAGCTTCCTGAGCAGCAGCGACAACAGAACCCTCAGCCGGCACAAGCCCCTTCCGTACACCTCTCTGAAGCGTTGCAGCCCCGTCATAGTCTAGGGTCCATCCATACCTGGCTGACATCCAGGTATGCAAGACCAGGTATGCAAGGTAGGCCTTGCAAGACCTCCCTTGCCTGCCCCCTCCCCCTGCTCAGAGCACCTGCCCATCCTCTCTGTGGCTCCTGCTTTTAATCTCTATTAGCCTCTGGTTCTTTATCCCCCGCCTACTTAGCCGTGATCCCCAGCTACTCTCTTTCTCGGCACTCTTCGACAGTGTCCCTATCCAGGGCAACCAGCCTTGGGCTTCCCGTATTTTCCCTCTGCCGTTTGCCCCTTGTGGCCTCCTTGCTCTTTTCCATGAGCATCATTGTCCTCTGCCTCTTCTGGCCCTGCACTCCTCTTTTTCAGGAGGGGTGGGTTCCATTCCCCACCCTTCACCTATTCTTCCTTGCCCTCACCTTTGTTCCTCTATATCCTGGGGTAATTTCCAGTCCTCAGATCCTGAAAACTACTCCTGAGACAGACTTGCAAAGTGGAACTAAATCTCACAAATGGGCAATCTTCCTGTTTCTCTCAAAAGTCAGACTTCAAACTTTCTGACCCTTTTCCCCCCCTTCTTTCTGAAACTGAGCAGCTGGAATGTGTATGAACATCCCGTGCCTCACCCCAACACTGCCAAGTGGTGGTGGAGGCTTTACCTTTGCAGGCAGAACCTAATACTGGTGAAAATGGAAGTGAAATATCTATTTTTTTATTATTATTATTATTATTATTATTATTATTATTATTATTATTATTATTATAACATTTCTATGCCGCCCCTTGCCGAAACCTCGGGGCGGCTTACAACATGATAAAATACATTGAAATAGTAAACCTCTCTCATTCTGTGTATGCTTTCAGGAGAGCATCAGCTCTGTTGGAGGCACAGTACAGATTACTGCTGGCAGAATATTCTCTTTGAACATCCAAAGCACGGTTTGCACTTGCCTTCCCTGTGTGGTTGTGGCTCTGTGTATTTGGCCTGGAGCTGTTGTCACTTGCCATGTGCCATATCTAACTCAGGCATTATGCGCCTTGGGGAGAAAAATTGGTTTGCTTGTGGAAAAGTTAACTCTAAGCTTTTCCCGTAATATGAACTGTCAACAGCAGTTTGCTTGAACTGGTTAATCTTTGAAGCTGCTGTTTAGACCTTTTATCAAAGTGATGACTTCTGTACACAGTATTGCTTTCTCGGTAGCGGTTTAAGCTTTTTTCTTTTTGCAAATGTTCCCGGATATTTGTAACTTAATGTATTAACCGCAAATGCTTGGGTCACGGAGCTGACCTTCGAGATTTCCAACAGTGACAGTTTTCTATAAATACTTTTGGATTGAGTCTGTGTTGGTGCTACTGCAATCCGGCTCTGCTGTTCTCTGAATTCAGAGCTTTCGATTGTCTTTCCACCCCGACTTCATTTCCAGGAGGGTGGTTGTCAGCTTCAGGGTGGCATCTTTTGTCTCCAGCTGGGGCTTGTGCACTGGTTGGACCCATGACCAATCCCTGGAAGCCGTGGCCTGGTTCCTCCTCCTCTTCCTGGGGGATACCTGCTCACCTACAGGGTCTCCAGGTGAGCAAGGAGAAGGAACAGTCCCTCTCATTTGCCTTGTCCTCTCCGTCTGGCAGGTGGTGTGCATTGGCCCAGATGGACAGGCAAGGAATTACGTGTGGGTGACAGTGGCCAGGAATACCGGTGGGCCCACTCAGGGAAGGGGATCCAGGAGGCCTCCTTGACCAGGGACCCTCCAAATCCTGCACTGCATCAGCCGAGCCACTGTGCTGGGAGCTGCCATTCACAGCCAGCGCTTGTTCTTCTCACTGGAGAGAACGCCATGGATATACAGGTGTGAGATACACTCTCCACTCTGTCTCCAGTTCCCAGGGAGGCTGTGGGAATCTTCAGCCATTTGGAGGCAGAAAAGGCAGCGGTTCTGTGGTCTGGATGAAGGAATTTGTCCTTGAATTGGATTGCAGCCACCCTGAAGGACCAGCTCTGTCGTTTGGGGGTTCTCCTAGACTCAGCCCACATTTGGAACCGCAGTGGTATTGGTATCCTAGGAATGCCTTGTCCCGGTTTGGGTTGGTGTGCCAGCTGCAGCTCTTATCTAGAGAGACCAGATCTTGCTTCTGCTGCTGGTGGAGGCATTCATGGGGCAGCTAGACAGGTCTCTGTCAGAGATGCTTTAACTTGGGGTCCTGCACCGAGCAGGGAGTTGGACCTGATAGCCTTATAAGCCCCTTCCAGATTGACAGTTCCCTGTTGATTGCTGTATGTGTCCTCAGGCTGGATTGGCCTATGATAACTTCGGAGCTGGTATCTGAAGCCACAGTGCAAAAGGAGCGAGATTAAGGATGTTGTTGTTGTTGTTGTTGTTGTTGTTGTTGTTATTACATTTCTATGCCGCCCCTTGCCGAAACCTCGGGGCGGCTTACAAAACCTCGGGGCAGCTTATGTTGTGGCCATAATTGGTTTAGGATCGCGTCTGCTGCTCAGAAAGTTTCGGCTGCACCAGTCTGAGCAGCGGGTGTGTTCATTCACTCTTCATTGGACGCCTCCTGAGAAGGGGCTTCAAGGGAGAGTAGTTTGGTGATCAGGGCTGCAGCCCTGTGTCCGTGTAAGCCCTGTTTGACTCCAGGAGTCTGAGCTACCTCTGAGTAGACATATGCAATGCCGTTCCAGTGCCTACCCAGCTCCTCTTAGGGACTCCCAGAGCTCAGTGGCAGAGCAGAAGGTGGCAAGCAGAAGGCCTTAGGTTCTGCACCTTGCATCAACTGCCAGGAGGGACCCCTTTCTTTCTGCAGCCATGGACGGCTGCTGCAGGCAGTATAGGGCTGGGGGGAGAACTGGTCTGACCAGATAGCCATCAGGATGTTTACATGTTCCTGCTGGGGACAGTGCTTCTCAGCTGAGATTATTTTCTGAAACGATCATTCCATCAGGCCCTTCTGGTTAAGCACGGCTGCATTTAACCCTTGCTAGCAGCACGTAAGAAATCACCAGGAATCATTTTTGGCAGCTGGCCATGCTATGCCCCAGCCACTGCTGGGGGAACCTCGGAATGGTGTCAGATCCAATCCTGGAGTCAAGAAAAAATGGCTCTTGGCGGGGGAGGAGACGTACCTTTTTAGTTTTGCAGCTGGACTTCCTGCCTCCATGTTAATTCTCTTTTCATTTTTGCAGCTCAGTCCCTCCCTCCCCCCACACCCTTGCCAAGAATTTATTGCTTACAATCGCTTCCATATGGCTGCGACATAGAATTTGATTGCATTAAGGATGGGCCCTTTTCCTGTAATACTGGTATAAGGAAATAAGCACTGCTACTCCGGTTGCTCCCGGTGCCCTTCAGAAAACGCCCTGCATGTTTAACAAACGGCTTGGAGAGGGCAAGTGGCCAGGCGTTTTCTGTCGCTCATAGGAGAGGAGGATGCCGAACAGAACTTTGCGCTGAGTCTTTTGGTCCTTGTTGGGTGATGCTGCCGGCTTGAAAACACAGTTTGTTTGTTTATTTATTTATTTATTTATTAAAACATTTCTATGCCGCCCCTTGCCGAAGCCTCGGGGCGGCTCACAACATCGAATAAAATACACAATAAATTAAAACAATAACAATTAAAATATATACAGTAGAATAAAATAAGCCGCCCTGGCCAAATAAAATTCAATAATATTAACATTATTTCACTGAACTTCATTATTTCAAAGTTCGCTGTTCTCTAGGTGGGTTTTGTCTTCTGAAGGAGTCTCTCACACAGTGAGAGCTGAGTACTATTGGGAAAATTTGGATGAATCCTGTCAGGAGAACATTGCTTCTGTGTGCTTTTGCATTGTGGAATCAATCCTGCCCTCCTTCTCAAAAGCACCAGCTTTCCAAGCTAAGTCGCTGTTTAAAATGGCCCTCCTCCCCCGCTCCTTTCTCTCACCTTCAGCTGTAAGGTACAGCAGACAGGCCATTTAGTCCAAATATACATTGTATACCTTCACAATTATTAAATAATCCTCGTTGGAATTCAGAGTTTACCAGGAAGTATCTTTAGCGAGCCCAGAGGGCTCCATGTGCCCCGGCCATTCAGAATGGTGCAGATGCATTACTTAGGGTCTGAGTCTGGATGAGCTTATGAGTTCATGAATAGTTTCTCAGTAGCTTGAATTTACATGTTTAAGCAGACCTGGAAATGGGTTCAAGTTACTCAAATGAAGTGTCAATACACTGCAATTAGAAATATTGTAATCTCATTGTCACTGTACGATTGGCTGATCTTCCTTTATCTGTTCTGTATGTGATGACCTCAGAATCTTATTGTAATGTCTGCATTCTGTCATCAGTTGCCCTGTACCTGTGTACGTGACTGGGAGGGTATAAAATACCCTGTAGTTGTATTGAAACTTTGCAGCGAGTTTACCTCTGCCTGCCTGGTAATGCATTATCGTGAGTCTACTGCGGGAACCTGGGCCAAACAACAAAGCCACAGATGGTCTGAACACTTGATCTTTCCCATGAACCCGAGTTTTATTTCCACCTCACGAATTGAAATTCCATGATTTTCTGACAGTACCAATCTGTATTGATCAGCTAGGTTCTTCCAGAGAAGTAAGCCACATGGGCAGGGAGCAGCCAGTAATGCGCAAAGGTGCGATTATTCTGCCAGTGCTGTGAGGTGAAGGACTCTCTCCAGCAAAATCTCGATGACTTCTCATTGAAATTGTTTATTTCTCCAAGTGAATTTTGCATAAAAGTAATCAGGGACATGTTAAATGCATAGAATGGCCAGTTTCAAACTTTTCCTAGGTAACTGTCCCTAAGAAGCATATTTTTCGAAAGTGTGGGCACACACATGTGCATAGAGATGCACCCAAATGTACTGCATGCACATATTTATACTTAAAGCAAGGTGTTTTTTTAAAATGGCATAAAATCCAAACTTGCTAAAATCCCATTTTAGGGAATGCAGGATCCTGGGAAATATTTCAGATCATTTTCTTGAACATTTTCCAATTCAATATGTTCGTATACCTTCTGCGACCATTGGAGGTACTGGTTGTAAACAGGCTTTTAACATCATGCGAGAGAA